GTTCAGCAGCCCTAATTTCTAGCACATGTGGCAGCTATGAGGCTTGAACCACAACCAGCAGCAAACAATTGTGAACCTAGGCCATCAGAAGCAAATAAGCCATGAATTCCAACTGTCCTCCTGGGACACAAAAAGAACAATACAGGTCTTAAGAAAATGCCTAGGCCACTCCCAATCACAACCAGACTTTGATTTGGATCAGGGAGACACAGGCCTGTGTCAGGAGGCTGTGGGTTAAAAGTGCAAGAGGCCTTAAGTCAGTACACCTTGCATTCTGGGAAATACACAGACAGCCAAAGTATATCCAAATGACATTTTGGGTTTGCCCAGACAGAGAGGAAAATTCAAAGTGCAGCTTGCAAAAACAATTAAGGTGGAGTTTTCATCTCAATAAGATGAAACAAAGGCCAAGTCTTATGTAAACACAGTCTTCTTTTCTAACTGGCCAAAAAATAAAAAAGAAATCTTGCTGGATGGTCCAATCAGGGAGAGATGACCTCTAGGCTTATAGTCTTAAACAAACTCCTGTATTTATCCTTACTTGGCTACTGATCATCTTCTCTAAGGACTGTCATAAGGAGCTACTACAGAATTAAAAATCAAGTTATCCCTGTATTTCTACAAGTAATTATGCAGAGCCAGTGTGGTGTAGCGGTTAAGAGCAGGGAACTCTAATCTGGAGAACAGTTTGATTCCCCACTCCTCCACCACATGAAGCCTGCTGGGTGACCTTGGGTCAGTCAGTTCTCTCAGAGCTCTCTCAGCCCCACCTACCTCACAGGGTGTCTGCTATGGGGAGAGGAAGGGAAGGTGATTGTAAGCCATTCCAAGACTCCTTCGGGTAGTGAAGCATGGGGTATAAAACCAATTCTTCTTCTTCGTCTTCAGATATGACAGAGAGAAGCTAAGCATTCTATGTTTACAAATGTCTCAATCCCTCTGACTTTTTCACAAAAAAACTGTGATGGGGTTTTTTTGTTTGTTTTTTCATTTGTATTACAGTTTGGATCTACTGTGTCTATCTGAGGTTATATTCCTTGGAAGTTTTCTTAAACAGTGTGAAGCACTGTGAGAAGGAAAGAAATTGGAAGTTTGGAAGACTTTCTTCCCTTTTAGTTACGAGTTCCGTCATCTTGTTTCCAACAGGACTTTCTCCAGGAAGTTCCACAAACACTCTGCAGCTCAAGAAAAAACCAGCCAGGTTAGCTTTAGATCCATACCCGAGTTACATACCAACAGATTCCTTCTGGCAACCACACCAGAGGTAGGTCATGGACTTAGCTTCTACCCATAGGATGCTTGTCCCATGATGCATCAGCTAGAAAGGCTGAAGTGAGAATAAACTTCCTCCATAATTATGGCTCAGGACCTAGAGGCATCTGTATAGAAAATCCTTGTCTAGTATTTCAACAACACAGGTGAATGCTGTCCTTGCAAGAATTGAGGTTGAGGATGAAGCTCTTAGGACACAGTTCAGGCATCAAATCCTAAGCCTAAGGCAGTGTCGACCATGATGTTTTAATGGTTATCTAAAAGCATCTCATTTGCCTCAGAGGGAATCAGCAAGTTAGGAGGTAGAATTTGTCAAGGGAAATGTGCAGCATCCAAAATCAATGGTGTAATTTTGGTGGACAACAGCCATTACCTACAAAGAAGATCAAGAGAGACGGGTATACAGAAGGAGAAGACTGACAGAGGAGACAGAGACTATCTGGATAGCACTGACATGGCAGCTCACTCTTCTTCCTTGGTCAGATTGAGCGGAAGGGTTTTAATGACACTGGCCAGAATGTGAGGAAAGCATTCCTGGGTAAAAAGTCATCCTGGACTAGTTTCTTTCTAATGTCCCAATACCTCTCATTCCTCATCCTCACAAGTCAGAATGAGCCTTGGCTCTCTGATGAGACGACAATTTTCACAGCTGATTGAATCTGCATTCTCTGGGAGTGGGATCTGGCCTGTTATATTTCTTTCTCCTTTAAGCAGAATACCCAGCACACCAGCTTTGGAAGTGTGGGCTCCCATGTTTTCTTGGGACTCTGCTTACTTAAGCTAGAACAAGTCTACCTTTACAAGGCAACTGGGGCTCTCAACTGCCTACAGTGTGTGAAGTCTAGAATCCTTCTGGGTGATCTGCTAAAATTTCACAGTGTTGTTTGTGCCAGGAACAAGGACAAAGAAAGCATGAGAGGAAACAGCGGCACTGCCCAATGCTTGCTTCGGGAAAAACAACAATTCTATGACCCTGGGGGTCCAATGGAACAAACATGTATTTTCAGAGCCATAAACTGCATGCCAGCCTTACTGCTTCTAGAACCAATTTTGACCTTTTCAAGAAAAAAAGGAAGAAATCAGACAGTTAAATTAACAGCCTAACTTGAGAAATAATCCAGAATCAATTTAAGGATCTCCTAATGCCTGCATTGGGTAATGCCACTACAACAATGACAACTGAAATAGGCCTTTCATTGATGAAGGCCAAGGTACATAAAGGGTTTTCTCCCCTTTATTTACTCTGAGCAGAGAAACTTAGCCTTGGTCATGCTGGCTCATGAAAAAAAATCCAAACAGTAATGGAATACCTTTTTACTGTAGGGTTGCCATCACTCCAGGGGGACCAGGGGATCCCCGATTTTGGGGGGCCAATCCACCACTGGCCACGAGGACACGGCCAATGCAATACTGTCACTGGTAGTGAAGTCATCACGTTGCAGGCGTCACACGGTGACACTCAAGCATTCAGGGGACCTCTATGGTTACCATAGAGTTTTAATGTGTGACGCTCCAAGCGTGATGACATCACTACCAGTGACGTCATCATCCCATGCATGCAAAGTGCACACAGCAGAAGAATCCCGGCGAAAAGCCAGGAGCCCCCCACTGGATGAAAGGTAAGACCTGGCAACCCTATTTTATTGGGATCAACCAAAATGCAACAAAATAACTTTCAGCTTCCTCAGAGCTCTTCATCAGGCTGGACATTAAGCACAAACAAGGGACTGAGAAAAAGACATTTAGGGAGTAATGGAAACCCCTAAAACCTTTTTGCAATTTATAATTTTCTGAAGATGGAGACTGGGAAGCAACGCAGATTTAATTGTTCTTCTCTGTGGGATCTCCCCAACTGACCTCTTCTGTTGTGTAGCACAGTCAGGCACTGCCCAGTCACCATTTTTCCCTCTAATGGCTGCTCTGTCTTTGTGCCTTCATGGTTTTTACAAAACTTTGTAAAACTGAACTTAAAAGGGAAGCTTTGAGGGCATTTCATGGGTCAGATCCAGCAATCCGCGGATGAAAGGATCAAGGATCTTCCCTACATTCCCCTCCCCTGTGAAAGTTTACTCTCGGGGTTGAAGGACCTGCAGCGACTAACAGCCATGTAGGCTGAGAGGCTACAGAGGGGAGGGGGCAAAAGGGCAAAAATCATTCTTTCTTCCCTGCTTCATCATTGAAGCTACAATGACAGAAGAAGCAGAAATGGCAATTCCATCCCCTCTCCCCTCCTGACCTACACACTGTTAGTCCACAATCCTGGGAATAAACGTTTGCTTAGTAAGAAAGGACTGGAGGGGGAGGGGGACCTATATATGGGAAAGGTCAGTAACCATCAGCACCTTCCATTGGTGGATTGCTGGGCCTAACCTAATGTTTTCATTAATTTAGATGGCTAATTGGACAGGGGAATGTAGCGCTCTCTTACTCGTAAACAGATTTTGCACTGCCTTTTTATTGTTTAACCTTCATTTGATGCTGCTCAGATTTTTTCTGTATTTTGATATGCAATCCTAGTCTTTTTGATAAGTTCCCTTGAATTCCTGC